AATGTTCACAAATCTAGTTTACAAATGCATTACATAAAAGCAAACTGATAAAAATTACACTTTTCTTTTAACTATGTACATAAAAATAATTTAGACTGAATAGTTACCAGATGCCGTGGTCAAAAAAACTGTCTCAGAAGTTCAATAGGAGGCTGTGCTCCATACTGTTCTAATGCAGGCATATTCATGTCATCCACAAAGATTATACACTTCTTTCCCATAGGTGGGCCAAATATTCCTTTCCGTCTCTTGTCAAGCCTGGCCATAATAATGTTCTAAAATTCAAAAGCATAACATATTTCTTAAGGATTAAAACCAGCTCATTCAAAAGAACAGTTAATGTTGTTTCCAGAGGGAAGTGTGCATAATGGGGTTGGTGAAAGCCAACTTTTTTACTGCCTCCCACTCGCAGAAGTTTGTTCATCCTCCCACCCCATTCAGCAGCCCTCAGGGGAATATTGTGGGATCTATTGGAGAGAGAAGGGAGCAGGAAAATCAGCTTCTGCCAGCTTGTTATCCATGCTTTTCTCTGAATCCAATCCATCAAATTCTAGCATGTATTCTATAATAAATACAAGTGTGTCTAAAGGTAAGTTTATTCTATTAATTTATATTGATTGCATTCACCTACTCCCCAACCATGCTTGCTAGCTCGTCTGCCTGCTGGTCTGTTGTCACAGAGGAGTTGCCATGGCCGCATGCTGACAGCCATACAAACTGCAGCATGACAACAGCCTTACAATTTTATTATATAATGAAATATGCAGTTGTAAACTGCCCGAGGGCCCATTTGCATCAAAAGCAGTCTGCTGTTTATTTTTACCAACCTGAGTCTGGTTGGCACTGGTTCGAGCAGAAAAATTAACAAAGAATGGAAAGTAGAGATTCTTTTCTACATGGTTCATTAGCTTGTCCTTCACATATACAGATTTTCCAGTACCTGTTGGTCCCACAAAAAGCAGCGGTCTTGGAAAGAAATTCATATATTTGTATTAGTTTCTCATTAGTGTAGACATATTGTTTGGAAATTAAACATAATTCTTGGAAATTCTCAACAAATAAAGACTGTTGATGGTAGCATTTTTACAGCGATTTATAAACATATCACATTTTTCTGTTTGCATAAATATATAGCTAAAATCACAGAAATGTAAGAGAACAACTATAAATAAAATGGGATGTAGAAGTATATGTTAGGCAAAAGACTCTTAGCTACAATTCCTGAATTATATTACAGAGTTGGTCCCCGTAATTTTATTCACAACTCAAGGTTTTTTATATGAACAATAAGTATTTCAGAGTTTATAACTGAGAATTATAAAATTATAAAGAATATTTCTAAGACCAGACTAGTGTAGATTAATGTTTCTAAACTCTTAACTTGTGTCACTTACTTTTGAGACACAATGCAAAGTGATAGTTTACCTTTAAAGCCATAAACAGTGGTATCCAAAGGGCTGCTTTTCCCTCAAATGAACCTGGATACTTCCACTTTGGAGGTCAGGTAGAGGGCCTTTTTGGTGGCGGCAAACAAATCATGAAACTCTTCACAAACATATTCATCTAGCACTTCTTTTTTTTACTGTTTTTCAAAGTCCAGTTTGAGCCATCCAATTATTCCACATCTTAATTCTTATAATGGCCCAATTTGTCTGGTGTGTGTATGTGTGTGTGTGTGTGTGTGTGTATCAGCAGGGATCCCAAGTAGTCTGCACAGCTTGAATAAGATGGATCAGTGCATTTAAGCCCCAACATTAAACCGGGGTTAAATATGAAACAATCAGTTAGCTTCAACTGCGTGCTGTGTGCATCTATAGCATTTATTTCAGCAAATGGGAAACTTTTCACATAGATCTTGGGCAAGAGCCATGGCTTTGAGCTGGAATATACATACTAAAAAGTGCAGTTGGGAACAATTCAAAGAAACTTAGCACCCTACTTCTTGATGACAATTCTCAGAATTAACCCCAATTTATTATTATGGAAACTTAAGGAGCATACAAAAACCCCAGCTGGACACAAATCTAAGAGGATTGTTTTTCTGGGGGTTTTATTTCTTAGAGTATTTCTTGGAGTATTAATAACATTATTAGAATAGTATGATCTCATGAACAATGAAAACATTTTCACTATTATAGGAAGCAATTTTTCTTACTTTCCATATTTAATGCACAATTCCATCAAATAGGTATATCTCACTGTGTCCATTGTTGGGACTATAATGTCTTGAACCTTAAGATTTTTATCATTATAATTGATACTTTTAATGGCTTCATTCCAATGCATCCAACGGCCCTTGCCTTTCATCTAAGAAGAAACGCAGAAATAAAGTTTTGCAAATGATATGGTACGGTTAAAATATATTCAAAATTGTTTCACTAGAACTTGATGCTTTTAGCATTTAGTTGTTTTAAAACATTTAATTGAATCTCAAAGCAATGGTTTCAAAATTATCAGCATTATAGACGTATAACATTGTACCCTCCGAACTTGAAGCATGGGAAGTCCTATTAAAAATTATAATTTGGCAGAATATTCAGATTATTTTATATGCATATGTATAATTTGGAATATTTAATGTGATTTGATTGGATTGTTAAAGTGGAAAATTTAATAAAAATGAATTTTTTAAAAAATATAATTTGCTACATATTTAGGGTAAATTGCAATATATTTTTGAATTTCCTAACAAGTAATAATATTTAGTACTGGGGCTCAATAAGCTCACTCTCTTTCTTGCTCCTTCTACATATGGTGTGCACAGCTGTGTTTATATAAAAGCCTTACTTGACATAAAGCACAGTGGTGTATTAGTTGGAGTGTTGGACTAGCAGCTGGGAGAGACTAGGGTTCAAATCCACATGAAACTCCCTAGGTGAGCTTGGGCCAGACACTTACTCTCACAGCCTAACCTACCTTGCAGGGTTGCTGTGAGGGTAAAATGGGGAGCAGAACTTTGTCTACCACCTTGAGCTCTATGGAGGAAAAAGGGTGGGATACAAATGCAATGAATTAATAAATAATAAATTCCTCCTTCCCCAAAGAGGAAAAGAAATGTGTTTTCACTTATTCAAACTGAGCTTTGGCCTCACTGCAGCTTCCTTGCAAAAACCCAGTTGGAAGGAGGAAATACCCTTTTTTCTCTGTGAAGAAAAGGATGAGAAGTCTCGTTCTCTTCAGTTTTTGCAAGAAGCAGCAAACTAGTGCTTGTGCTACTTCCAAAAACCTTTCCTTTCTTAACTCTGCAGAGAAAAGGAAGGAAAGAAGATAAAGCCTCCGCCTTGCAAGCTGACTTGTGTTTTTTTTAAAAAAGTTTTTATTAAGGCTTTTTGTGCTACAAAACAAAAAGGGAAAGGTACATCTATTGTCTCCGCACTCTATTTGTAGCCATTCCTCATTATTGCATATTGCAAAAACAAGGAGGAAGGGAAAGAGGAGGAAGAGACTTTTCTTTTGTTTCTCTCCTGTCTCATTGGGTTTCTTGTAGAAGGCGGCAGCAGCAATGTACTTCTAGCCCTTTTTGCAAAATATCTATTTAAAAATAAATGTAAGCAATATTTTAGCAATTTATTAGGTTTATTTAACACAGATACAACACAGCAGTAATTATTCAGGCACATAATTCAGCAACCTTGCTTCTATTATGCAGTCCTGTTTATATGTAAACATAAACATACATACATATTTCATTGTTAAGGAAAGTGCAGATCAAGAGGCCCATGCATCAAATCCATGAGCCCTCTTCTAACTGCTTTTAATGCAAACAGTGGGAATGTACTGATACCATACAGTGTTTCCAACTGTATGTGTCATGCAGTTCCCAGGTAATGCAAAGCCATTTGAAGGCATGGGCAAAGCTGGGGGGGCAGCTCCCCCCCATCAAATAAATTTATAAAAATACTTAACTGACCAATTGCATTGCAGATAAATCAGTTCTGTTCCCCCCACAAACATAGCCTGCCCCCCCTAAAGTAAATCCTGGCTATGCCTATATTTGAAGGCAAATCTTTTGTGGATGTACCATATATAGGTGTATAACGCAGCTTCATGTTTTCAAATTCTATGGCTTTCAACAGCTATTCATTCCTAATGAAATATTTAAGAAATTCAAATACTGGTTAATAATTATATAAATTTTTCCGTACCTCAAACATGAAATCATACACCAAGCCTCTCTCTTCAAACGGATGCTCCCATTTCCCCACAGCTGCAGGCATCGGATGTTTGTCCATCTTCCCTGCTATAATATCCCTCATAAAGGCGTCAAACAGAACCCGACCATCACCATCACAGGTTCCACCAATGGACCAGACCGTAGCAAAAGCAAAACAACCCTTCCATTTTTAAAAGAGAAAGAAATTATGAGGACGATGATGTACTCATGGCAAATCTCACTTGAAAGGCTTTAAAGTTATACTATTTATCTATAGCGAAAATAGTATTTTGAGGATGCAATCCTCCAGCCAGTTTTCTGGATATTGAACTTAGTGGGACTTACTTAATAAACTTATTGGGACTGCAATTGTACATCTGTTTACCCATAAGCTACCCATTTCAGAATCTCTTGCAGGCTGGATCTAGATTTGCCCTTCTGTGAATAGAAGGGCTTGTCACTTTGTGGAACGCCCTGAGAGCCAAGGAAGGCAACCTGCTAACTGAAGGCACTTTTGCAGATTCTACCTTCCCACTGCAGCCCCAAGCACCACACCATATGCTGTTCCAGAAGGTCCACAGGTGCAGCAGCTTTTCAGGGTGTGCAGAGGAGACAGAATCAGCAAAACACACCTCTACTCCTTCCTCCAGCATGAGAATCTTGTGAGAGAAACATAACTCATGTCAATTATGGACAGTGGCATAGGAAGCTGCTAGGGTGCCTGGGGCAGATGTGCAGACTGCCCATGAGGGCAGAGCAAGCTGGTAGGGCAGGGTGCCCTGCCAGAACTGTGTCCCAGCACCCTCCACCTGGAGGGCGGCTGAGGGGGAAGTGGTGTGTGTGCACCAGCACTGCTTGCAAAAGCAGTGTGGGGCTGGAGCCCGAGCCACCATGTTCTTGCAGGGCGCCCTTCAGCTGAAGGGCAGCTGAGGGGGAGGTGGCGGGTGGGTGCCAGTTGTGTCCTTCTCAGCTGCCCTCTGGTGGCTGGGAGAGATACAGCAGCCCAGAGCGCTGCAAGCCCAGCCCCAGGCCGCACTGCTTTTGGGAGCAGTGTGCCGGGCTCTGGGGCTCCTGGACTTGCATGTCACCTTGGGCTCTAGTGTGCCACCTCCAAGGTAAGTGCTATCAGGGGCGCCCCCCCCCCAGCTACACTACTAAATATGGATTCAATTCAAGTGGAGTGAAATAACTCAAACAGTTTGCTCAAAGAAGTGAAAAGATAAAAACATCAGACCAACCATAATCCATTTGCGGATGTGTGGACTGGTAGGCTCCTTCTCCACCGCGTCACTAAGCAACATTTCAATAAGCCGAATGAGAGAAACCACATTATTGCTATTGCTGGTGGGGACCAGCTCCTATAAAAGTAAAAGATTTTTTAAAAAATAAATAAATATGAATGCCTCATGAACTTAATCAGTTATAGAACATTTCAGTCAATAATCTTTTGTGTTTAAAATGTGCACTGATTATTATTTGTGTGTGTGTTCTGTATAGACTTGATAAAGATCACAAAATACTTACTAAAAATACTACAGCAAACCAACTGAAGTTGTCTTAGTTCAACATTAATTCCTTCACCTCAGTTAACATGTTTTACAATAGATTTCATTATGGTAAGACTGAATATTTCTTTATTTACCCTGCGCCAATCCCATCAACAGTGGATTCTTTCTTTCTCCTGTCTAGGCTTTAGCTAGACTCCATGCTTCTATTTTCTGTTTCTTTGCCTGCAAACTGTGTTTACTATTTTTGTTATGTATTCAGTGGTTTTCAGGAATGTATATAAGCAGTTGCTTTGCCCCTGTTTCCCAGTTACAGTATGTAGTTCAATAAAGGTTCTTGCTGTTATCGCTATGTCTTGCCCATCTACACTTCAATTTTCTTTTTGGATTAGTCAGGATCCACTTCAGAGAGGTACCAGCCAGCACCCTTCTAAAAGGTAAGATCTTTAAACTAACTTAACACAGTTAAGAGAACCAAAGGAGGAAATTCAATTTGGTCTCAAGGGATGCCTTATCAATCACTCCATCACTGCCTGAGCCTTAATGGGGATAGGGATTTATTCCAGACAAAGACTGTGGAAAGGAATCACTGAGGGAAAACTGAGATTCCTCCATGAGTATCTCTGCTGGCAGAATCCCTGCCTGTCACAGTGAGAACTCTGGAAGCTGAGGGTTAGCATTACAGTCTCCTATCAACTTTTAACACCTTTAACAAACAAAAAAACCCTGTAGACCCAACCCATGTACTTAACAATAGACATACTAAACTGTTTTTTTAAGAACAACCTACTTTGCATTTTTCTGACGCATTCTTAATGCTGGTGGTACTATCCAATTAAAGAGATCTTCAAAAGTTCTTGATACTCCTTTTGGTCCAGAGGTTCAGGAAGTGTACTCAACCAAGATGTTACAAGTGGCAACCAGCCCAGCTGTAAAGGCTCCAAATAAATCATTCCACAACGACTGACTGTAGCAGGCTGCAGGACAATAATATTTATCTCTCTTAAAATTTCATTCTATCTCCAATTTCAAGTCCTGTGAATTATTTGATCTTGCCTTTAACATACCGAAGCCTGAGACAGATCCATAGCTTCAAAGATGAGGCTCATCTGAGGGGACATTTGAATGATTTCTCCACTCATCAAACAAAGCTAAGAGCAAAAACAAAAAACAAAACCCACACCCAGTTTTAGACTGCTGTAAATTTTATGCTCCAGAAGCAATCCAGCTTCTTTAACCTTAATTTGAAATAGGGAGGGTATTGGAAAATTTGAGCAAGTACAGGTATTGTGACTTATCTCATTTATTGAAATGTCAGGATCTTCCATAATCAAATTTGGAAAAATGCTAATTTATTAATATCCAGTTTTTGGCCATTGCTCTGATCCACTATCACTGTATTGCTGTTGTTATTTTTAGATGCTTAGTATCCTATCTAAAACTATAGTTCCTCTGAACAATTATTTAATGAAAGAGGAAGTACCAAGTTCAGATTTAATGCAACTCAGAAACTGTTGCGTGACTGAGTCATTGTGCTAAAAAATAAGCCCTGAAATACTGAAATCATAATTGGATTTGGATATCAGTGCAGATTGTACCGAATACTGGATATATATGCATCCATTGGTTCTGTATGGCTCTTCTTAAGCTAGTTTTTCTGCTACTTACAAAACCTGGCATTTAGTCAGTTATAGTGCCATAGGGTCCTGAGAAATTCTGGGAGAGAAGTTTGTAAAGCATATTAGTTTTACGATGAATTCCCCCTCCTCCCAGAATTAAGAAAACCTAGTAGCTGACAGGTTTCCAAGAGTGTGTGTGTGTGTGTGTGTGTGCTGACTGGCTCAAGTAAGCTGGCTCCTACTTGCAGTTATTGTTAAATCTGGTACTACAAGCTTAGAAAACAAAGTGCCTTTCAAAAATACAAACATGAGTGCCAGAAATAATGATGTAATGAAGTAATAATGATGATGTTGATAACATTAGATGTGCATGATATGGAATGAATGTTAGAATGATTTGACAAAAGACCTGACTGCTTATATATCAGCTCTGCTACTGGCACTCTTTCCAGTTTCCTCTTTCCTGTAAGTGTTTCTTCTTTAAAAGTCTTATTTGAAACCCAATATGCATCTGTGATGTCAATTGTGCTGTAGTTACACAAAGAGCTAGCTATTTGGGGTCAAGGCTCAATGAGTAACTTCTCAACCTATTTTATCTCAATACATTTTAAAATTCCTTGAACAATTTTAACAACAACAACACCTTTATTGTCAATGTGCAAACTGTGTACAATGAAATTTACAATTGCCTGATGTATTTGGATTACTTAGGCATTACCTTTTTGTTGTCATCCAACACAGTGTTCATGCTCTCTATCCAAAGGGTATCAATAGGACCATCAAAAACAACCCATTTTCGATCAGGTGTCTCAGTTAAAGCAAATTCTCGAAAAGTGTTGGCAACTATGCCATCTGTCCACTAAAATAAGTGACAAAAGACTTTTTAAAATTTGAAGGAAGCATTCAACAGAAACCAATTGTGTAAATCATTTGAATATGGTAATCTGTTCTACTGAATGGACAAAACCTAAGCAAATAAACATCCAGAAAAAGCTAAGCTTAAATTGTTTTCTGGACACACTTTGGAATAAAACGTAGATATATTACCATTAATATGAGCTAGGCGGAGAATGTGCAAAAATACTACCTTTCTTTGTATGAATATGTATTCATGCTAAGGGTTGCTGTCCCTGCCCACACTGTTCACAATGCCACCTACCCTCCCCACTGCCAACCCCAACCCTTAACACCTCACCCAAGGGCTTATATGGTTCATTACTGTAAGGTACTTTTTATTTCTCCCTGCTCCTCTGCTCTAAAAAGGTAAAGGTAAAGGACCCTTGACAGTTAAGTCTAGTTGTGGCTGACTCTGGGGTTGCGGCGCTCATCTCGCTTTATTGGCCGAGGGAGCCAGCGTACAGCTTCCGGGTCATGTGGCCAGCATGACTAAGCCGCTTCTGGCGAACCAGAGCAGCGCACGGAAACGTCGTTTACCTTCCTGCCGGAGTGGTACCTATTTATCTACTTGCACTTCGACGTGTTTTCGAACTGCTAGGTTGGCAGGAGCTAGGACCGAACAACGGGAGCTCACCCCGTCGCGGGGATTTGAAACGCCGACCTTCTGATCGGCAAGTCCTAGGCTCTGTGATTTAACCCACAGCGCCACCCGCATCCCGCTCCTCCGTTCTATTTTGTGATTAACTTACCTCATGAGATACTGGATCAAATCTTCCAAAAAGTTGTCCCATAGTAATAGCTTTTGGATTCACAGTTCTGTGAACTACCTTTTCTTCGTCCCCATACCCACGTTCATTCATAAGGGAAAGTGTATCTGCCAACACATGCAAAACTTTGGTCTTCCCGGCAAAAGGCTCACCTACAAGCATAAAACTGATAAATAAAAAGTTGTTATTTGGTATTTTCCTTTTTGCCAATAAGTCTCATGACTAAACATGAACATACATTTAACTGTTTATTATTGCAAAAGCTAGAACATTCAGCTCCTATGGTAGGACTACTAAGCTGATTTTTTCAGGGATCAGTGGTGTAACTGATTTTCCTAAAGGGAACTCAGTCATGCAGCCAAACCAGCAATGTTCAACTCACCACCCATAGCTGAGATTTCAACCCTACTTTCTGCAGGGATCAGCTGTACAATCAAGTTCTCCATGAAGAACTTGGTTGCACAGTCAACCAAGAAGGATAGAAGTATACTTTCTCCATGCCATGTATAACTTTCTTAACTTCCCTATCATGTCACCTCTTATTTGCCTTTTCTCTAAACTAAAAAGTCCCAAATGCTGCAACACTTCCTCAGATGTGAGTTGTTCTATCCCTTTGATCAGGCTGGTTGCCATTTTCTGAACCCCATACCCATGAATATTATTTATCATAATTATACTTACCCATGTCTAACTATCATCATTTCATAGGTCTGTATCATCTTTTCTAGAAAAACTTTAACAGGCTGAACATTGTGTGCTTTGCAGCATTCATTTGCACATTCCAGAAAATCCTGAAATTTTGAAAGGTAAATCTTAATAATAATAATAATAATAATAATAAATTTTATTTATATCCCGCCCTCCCCAGCCAAAGCCAGGCTCAGGGCGGCTAACAACAAACAAATAATCAAACAATCAAATAATCCAACATTCTAAAACATTTCATTATAAAAATTAATTAAAATCAAATTAATGGCAACCGTTAAGCAAAGTTCTGTGCAGGTTGCCAGAGGAAGGAGTCAGGCTGGGCCCTGACCAAAGGCCTGGTGGAACAACTCTGTCTTGCAGGCCTTGCGGAAAGATGTCAGGTCCCGCAGGGCCCTAGTCTCTTGTGACAGAGCGTTCCACCAGATTGGAGCCACAGCCGAGAAAGCCCTGGCTCTAGTTGAGGCCAGCCTAACCTCTCTGAGGCCTGGGACCTTCAGGATGTTTTTATTTGCAGACCGTAGGTTCCTCTGTGGGGCATACCAGGAGAGGCGGTCCCGTAGGTACGAGGGTCCTAGGCCGTATAGGGCTTTAAAGGTTAAAACCAGCACCTTAAACCTGATCCTGTACTCCACCGGGAGCCAGTGCAGCTGGTATAGTACCGGATGAATGTGATCTCGCAGCGAAGACCCCATAAGGAGTCTCGCAGCGGCATTCTGCACCCGCTGGAGTTTCTGGGTCAGTCTCAAGGGCAGCCCCACGTAGAGCGAGTTACAATAATCCAGTCTGGAGGTGACCGTCGCGTGGATCACAGTGGCTAGGTCAGGGCGAGAGAGATAAGGGGCCAACTGCTTAGCTTGGCGGAGATGAAAAAATGCCGCCTTTGTTATAGCTGTAATCTGTGCCTCCATAGAGAGGGAGGTATCGAAGATTACACCCAAACTATCCCCAAACTAAGATTACACCCAAACTTAGCTATTTCTCATTTCTGGTATGCATTTGCACATGTACACAAACACACTTTTCATTTGAAAAAAGATTAACATTCAGTTTTCCTTCTTTTTCTTAAAATGCAACTCATACACCTCAAATTGCCAATTACCGGTAAGTGTTTCAGTTGAGTTTAACTAGGCTAGAGAATGGTAATCTGAATTCAACAAACATCCAAACCAGGTGAAATTATGCATTTACAGAAATGAACAGAATTTTGCTATGTTGCTGTAGAATCACAAAAGGAATGATACTATGTAGTTACCAAGTTAAGAAAAAAAAGACTTTGAAGGATATGAAGAAATAAAAATGAAAGGAGCTCTGTGAGCACCTTAAAACTGAGCAAAATCATAGGAACGTGTTTCACAATCATATACATGTTACTCGGAAGCTTTCAACTGCAATTCTGCACACACCTTGGAGTAAGCTCAATTGAAAATACAGTAAAGAGACTTATTTCTAAATAGACATGTATAAGGCACACGTATGTATATTGAGACCGCTGTCATCAGACTGGGGACCTTCTTTTTAAATGACATGAGGCAGTGGCAGCTGGAAGCTGAAGAAAATCTTGAGGGACGTTTGTGACAAGTTACTAAGAGACTAGGAAGATAATCCTAGTAGGAATGAGATGGATGTCAGGATTACTAGCAGTGCAATCACATGCACATCTACTCATAAATAAGCCCCACTGAATTCAGTGGGGATTATTTGTATGTAAGTGTGTGTAGAAATTAAAAGACGCCTGCTTCTTGGGAGAAAAGCGATAACAAACCTAGACAGCATCTTAAAAAGTAGAGACCTTGCTAACAAAAATCTGTATCATTAAAGCTATGGTTTTCCCAGTAGTGATGTATGGAAGTGAGAGCTGGACCATAAAGAAGGCTGATCGCCGAAGAATTTATGCTTTTGAATTGTGGTGTTGGAGGAGACTATTGAGAGTCCCATGGACTGCAAAAAGATCAAACCGATCCATCCTGAAGGAAATCAGCCCTGAGTGCTCACTGAAAGGACAGATCCTGAAGCTGAGGCTCCAATACTTTGGCCACCTCATGAGAAGAGAAGACTCCCTGGAAAAGACCCTGATGTTGGGAAAGATGGAGGGCACAAGGAGAAGGGGACGACAGAGGACGAGATGGTTGGACAGTGGTCTCGAAGCTACGAACATGAGTTTGACCAAACTGTGGGAGGCAGTGGAAGACAGGAGTGCCTGGTGTGCTCTGGTCCATGGGGTCACGAAGAGTTGGACACGACTAAACAACTAAAGAACAACGCATGTAGCAGTGCAGCCTAAAGTAGATACTGAAAGATTGCAAAAGGATGAAGCCTTTTGCTATCTATTACAAATGCTGGCGGGCTTCTACAAACAGAGAATTGGTCCTACAGTAGTGATGGAAGGTACTTGAGGCTACCACTTTGCTAAAGCTGAGCAGGTCTGACTCTGATCAGTTCCTGAATGGTTGACCATCTGGGAACCACAACTACATTGGGTACCATGATTGAAGAGCAGCTGAATATAAATGTGAGAAAATAAAATAAGCAAACACATCAAGTTCTGAAGCAGACTTTGGGTTCATGGTAAGACTGGGTGAACTGAAGTTTTTTGAAAACAATCCACTTAAAAAATAGACACAGCACATCATTTAGTTAGAAACAGACAACCGCATGAGCTAAAACTGTCAAATACTGGAAGAATTACTGGGGAACAATGCACTAAAAATATACTCACATTGTAGTCAGCTTCAGGAAGCTTAATACCAGGGAATAAATCACTTGTAATGCCCATAAACAGAGGTATGTCATGTGACAAAAACTTAGGTTCATTTACATCTTTGATTGATCGAAGAAGCTGAACAAAGGAAGAGAAACAGCAGCAGAGTTGGAAAGAAATAATGTTCTAGTTTATATCACAAATATTAAGCTGCTCAGCAATAAAAACAAAGTTCTATCAACTGCACTGTGTCTCCTACGAGTATTCTTTTTTCAAGCTGATAATTAACCACATTGCTAAGTTAAAGCAATACAATCCTAACATGAATCAAAACTTGTCTCCAACAAAGAGAAATTAGTTGGAGGGAGGGAGGATAGGGCAGTGCTGGATCTACATATTTAGCTATAGGAAGGCAAAAGTCTTTACTGCTACTTTCCTCTCTTGCAAGTTCATGTCTGCCTCTTGCTGCTGCTGACACCACCAAGAGAAGAATGCCTACACACAACTCCTTCTCTTGGTGGCAGTGCCACCATGGGAAAGTCACAAAGTGGAATGTTTGTTCCCCCTTCATGGTCTATGCAGGCTTCCTTCTCTTGGTGGCAGAAGTGACAGCACAACAAAAGAGAGCATTTCTTCCCTTCATCTCCCTCTGCCACAGCAGCTTCTCACCTTCTTCTTCCTGGGGTGAGCAAGGAGGTAGGCCTTTCTATAGCCACCCCTCTTCTAATAAGTGGAATGTCTGCTTATTAGAAGAGATGCCACACTTGATCTTAGCCAAAAGGCCGAGAAGAGATGTGTGCGCTGTAGCCAGCCATGGCACATTGTCATCAGCGAGGAAAGAGGCATGTGTATGCTCAGTGACTCCTTTTATTCTGGCCGGGTTCCACTTATTAGAAGAGTTGTCTACCCAGCAATACACTGCTTTGCTGCGCCCCAACCTGCCACCTGGGGCATGTGCCTCCACTTGCTCCCCATCTTGATACAGGCCTGGGAAAGGGATACATTACTCACTCCTACAATGGGTATGGCAAACCACTTCTATGACCTCTAGACTGAAAGGGCTTTGTAAGTGTTAGTTATGTTGAATCAGTATGCCTAACATTTGCAATCTATCTGAGGGTTTTGCTGATCTCTATGTTGATCACAGCTAGCTTAAGCAGCCTGGGAGAACACTATAGGTGACAAAGCAAACATTGTTCAAAGCCACATAAAACACTTGTGCTTTTACGAGTAGTACCTTTCTCCCCCACTTGCTGCTGGTATTACAGTTGCTGGGGAAAGTCCTTAAGTGTATAATTTTGGGGTACTCTGAGGGTCTGGTATATGAAAGCTTATGCCACAATGTAGCTGCCAGTCTTTAAGGACACACAAGACTCTCTCTGGTATTTCTAGTACAGTCGTACCTTGGAAGTTGAACGGAATCTGTTCCAGAAGTCTGTTTAACTTCCAAAACGTTCAAAAACCAAAGCGTGGCTTCTGAATGGCTGCAGGAAGCTCCTGCAGCCAATCAGAAGGTGCAGAAGCCCTACCAATTTTGTGATGAATTATAAATTGGGGACGTGGGTGGCGCTGTGGGTTAAACCATAGAGCCTAGGACTTGCTGATCAGAAGGTCAGCGGTTTGAATCCCCGCGAAGGGGTGAGCTTCTGTTGCTTGGTCCCTGCTCCTGCCAACCTAGCAGTTCGAAAGCACATCAAAGTGCAAGTAGATAAATAGGTACCGCTCCTGCGGGAAGGTAAACGGCGTTTCTGTGCGCTGCTCTGGTTTGCCAGAAGTGGCTTAGTCATGCTGGCCACATGACCCGGAAGCTGTATGCCAGCTCCCTCGGCCAATAAAGCGAGATGAGCGCCGCAACCCCAGAGTTGGTCACGACTGGACCTAATGGTCAGGGGTCCCTTTACCTTTTTATAAATAAAGTCAAGAACAGTACAGACGTACGTTGGTTTTCAAACAGCCTAGTTCTCGAACGTTTTGGCTTCCAAAAGAATATTCAAAAACTGGAACAGTCACTTCCAAGTTTTGATCTTTTGGGAGCCAAAACGTTTGAGAACTAGGCTGTTCGAAAACCAAAGTATGTCTGTACTGTTCTTGACTTTATTTATAATTCATCACAAAAAAATATTCATTTAAATTGTGTGGGGAACATCAGACCCAGGGGCTGAATGTGGCCCCTGGGACTCTCCTCAGGCTCCTCCCTCTCCTCATTTTGCACCTCTCACTGGTCATACAGGAGTCCATTGTGTACTGACATCACTGAACTGAACTGCTTTAGACCACTGAACTACAAAGACATCTGCTAGCTGATCTTCTAAATTTCATACATGGAAAAATTACACCAATGTTACTGGAATGGGATAAAACAGCAAGATACTAAAATGCTCTAAGTCCATTTGAGAACTAATGACTATTTCTAAAGTCAAGTTAATAATGTGCCACTTACCAGTATATCTTCATTTTCAAAAGGGAATTTCAGTTTTAGATTGCCAGCAGCTATCAGCACTGCTTTGACTGCACGCATACCATAGTCATAATGGAACTGAGATGAAAGCTGTTCCGAGCACAATCTGTAGGTCATTACTATTTTCACTGATAAAGGTTTAGCATTCAGAAACCCATATGAATAGAGAGAGATTTCAGCAATAAGAGCATAGTTAGGAACCATCATGGCAACAGTTCGGAAGAGGACCTAAAAGGCACATCAAGGAAAGTACGATTGTTAAAAAATTCAAAAATTGAAAAATAAAATATATGAACAAATTGGGGGGGGAAAGAAAGTATGGCAATTCTGCCCCCCTCCAAGGCTATATTTTTTCAGTGGCACTAGTATGCTTATTAATATATACATTTGTCTTTCACTTTAACAAAAAAAACCCTCCACAAATGTTTAATGAATTTTCATACAATTGTTCTGGAAACTTTATCTCATAGCTGCTAAGCACCCTCTTATTAAAGAAGAAAGGACTTGCCATCCAAGCTGAACCATACAAAAAAACCTACTCAGCTGTTTTTTCCAAGAATTTCCAAAGCAAGAAAGCTACTATTTGACCACCACTTATACGCCATGCATAGGGAGCAAGCCAAATGCAAAATCTGCTATGAGCAGAGTTTGGAATAGGCAGGTCTGTGGCTCAGCTGGGGCTACACTGACTAAAATCCCTCATCCCAGCTCAGAGATATGCCAGAGTATCTCAGTTCTCCATCCTGGCCCACTGGGACTCAGCCAGCTCAGTCATGAGAAGGGGACATTCTGGAGGAGTGGTGGAGCTTGGCAGGAACATGGGGTAGGGACAGGTTTACTCCTATTCAAAACTGATTCAGCTCAGTCACATGACCTAGCAATCCAGCAGACGTTACACTTGAAAAAGGGTGGTGTAAGACAAACTCTTATTTTAAAGGCTCCCCCCACCCCGAACCCCACTCACCTTGCCTTGGGACAGCTCAGCCAGCAGTAGTCTCACTCCTGAAAGGAGTTTAGAAGTATGCACAGATCTTAAAATGATTTTTAGAGAAATCATGCTTTTAAAAGCAGTATCTGAAATGACTCTCAGTTAATATGGTTTTTCTTTCACTATTTTACCTTGAGATTGTCCGGCAGTTCAGAGCGCCCTGCATAACCTGGATTCATAGTAATCGCAACAAAGCAGTTGGGGTTCAGCTTCAGTTCAGTCCCTTCGAAATTAAACGTCTCCAGCTTCAGCTGTATAGCCCTCTGGATGCAAAGGATCTGCTGAGCCACTACAGACAGGACTTCCAACTCAATGCGATTGAATTCATCAAAGCAGGCCCAAGCACCTGAAGAAGCCAACCCCTTGAAAAACTAGAAACAGAATGGGAAGCCCGGTATTATATAACTAACCAATAGTTTGAAGATGTAAAAAGGAGTATTGTGATGCCTTGGGAACATTTGTTTACTACTATTCTTACAGTCTCATCAAATCTAGCTGTATTAGGCAAATGAAAAAATTGGGGTGCCTCTATATAATTGTTGCTTGCTTAGACTGTGTACAGGAAATGGTTTCTGTGGAGAAGCAGGAATTATTTCCCCTTTACAGCTATCATGGCAGTAGTCCTCCTGATCAACCGCTGGTAACTTAATAAATACATAAATACCAGAGAGGCAGTGATGGAAGTGAAGTCTGTTCTCTTCATGTTTCCTAACTCCCAGTTACAGCTATTTAAACCAGCCCCATAAGAGCTGATGAAGTAGTGAAACCAATTAAATCAGATCAAAAGCACTCTTATGAGAAACTGTACTTTAACTTATAAGGGCTGTATGAGTTCATGTGTGACTGTGGGCTGTTCAAACACTAAAAATAATTTTGCAAGAACATTTTAAAATCAGTTCCAAAGCTGGCAGTACATTACTTGCCTTAGAATCTGTTTAACAAGTGCCCAAGCGAATCACATCAAATGTGTATTCTTTGATTGCAGCAGCATTAATTATGTTCCTGGATACTGCTTCAATTGCAATTTTTAAAAGACCTGCAGAACTTGTTTGGTTTGGACACATTAGCAACCTCTGTCTTGTCAAACTATCCTGACTCCTCAAAGTTTAAAAGCACAATGTATTGATGAAGTACAGTTGTACCTTGGAAGTTGAACAGAATCTGTTCCAGAAGTCTGTTTGACTTCCAAAATGTTTGACTTCCAAAATGCAACTTCTGATTGGTTGCAGGAAACTGCTGCAGCCAATTGGAAGCCACAAAAGCCCTGTTGGAAGTTTGGCTTCCAAAAGAACTTTTGAAAACTGGAACACTCACTTCTGGTTTTTGATCGTTCGGGATCCGGAACATTCAACTCCCAAGGTGTTTGGGGGCCGAGGTACGACTGTACTTAAAGAGACAGATCCTCTGCAAGTTTACTCAGACTCCCAGGTTAAGTTTGCATAGCACTGCAGCTTAAGTATCAGGATGGATGACCTCCTTGACAACGTACTTAGTAGTTGTTGATATATGTAACTTCCAGGAATAGAGAAGGCCTTCCTGGGCTGGCCAACCCATGAGGCAAGATGAGGGGACCACCTTAAGCAGCAGGATCCACAGGAGTAGCAGATTATGGCCTCCAAGGAACACACAGCCCTCTGTATTACGGTATTTTAATATTTTGTTGGAAGCCGCCCAGAGTGGCTGGGGAAGCCCAGCCAGATGGGCGGGGTATAAATTATTATTATTATTACAGCAGCCTCTTGGTGAACAGGAGGCACTGCTGGTCTCCTCTTACCCCTAGGGATGAAATGGTGGGGGCTGCCCTCTGGGGTCTCCTGGGCTTTGCACCTGATTCAGAGTGGGCCCCTTTTCCCCTCGCAACGGCCTTTGATTCAACTGATAGTTGTGAAGTTAACTGTACAGTTCTGTGCACAATTGGATTGTGTGACCAAGGTATGTGTTATTGTTTATAAATGTTTTTGTTAAAGATGAGCCTCTACTGAAAATGAAAAACAGTGCCACCTTTAAAAACTGGAAATCAGACAATAAAAGATTGGTTCAATTTACCTTCCCCATGGCTAGGTAATCAAGGCCGTCAGAACAGTTGAAGACAACACATTGCACGGCAAGAGCTTTAGCCAAATCTTTGGTGGTCTCTGTTTTACCTGTCCCAGCTGGGCCCTCTGGAGCACCACCAAGATTTAAATAAAATGCTCCAATCTAAGAATAAGAAAAGTTCATGAAAATATTTCAGAAGTCACATAATGTTTGGATACAAAAAAACCTACATCCAGTTGTATATGGCAGAGATGAAATATTGTAGAAAACATGTACCCTCCCACTTATTTTCTTACACATTGCCTTGCATACTTTGTCACTGCATTCTCACCTCCCACCAAATTCTTCTTTTCTTTCGTTTTTGCTCTCTCTCACCCTAAACCATTATTCATTCATCTATTTATCCCAGGTTTCTGTTGTTCCGCTTGGGAAAATACACCTACACAAATTCTAATGCAAGCATACACATCAATCGTCTCTATTTCTCCATCCATTTTTCTATTTCCATTCTTCATTCCTAATGTCAACTTTATCATATTTTCTTCAACTTTTTCATAGTGCTAATGAAATAGCCTGCAACAGCACAGGTGTTACTTTCTTTGATTCACTGATCAATTAAAAAAGACATTTTCTGCTGCATTACTAAGAGATCTGCAATCTAGAACAAAAGGATCTATATTTGCCTTGTCTCACAATTTTATTTACAACTAATCAGAATCAGTTTTAAATTTTAAACTATGTTTCCAGTAAAGAGAACATTAATGCTTTAGTCCCATTGAAATTAATGGAGTCAAGAGTGCTTCCCTTATTGTCGGAGAGTTTAATACAGTAGTTCTGAGAACCTCAGCAAGACAAAATCTCTATAAGCTACTGTCATAAACATAGGTGGAGAACATGCCTCATTGTAGCTAATTCAGATTTATAAGAATTCTTATTAGCAATTTAATATTAAAAAGCATACCAGAGTACGGTAACATCTGTCTGTAAGAGGAGTGATGACAAGTCGAGGAGAGTTGCCAAGGTATTCATATGCATATTTTACATTGCAATTGATGATGCGCACCCGGACGTTCTCATACTCCCAGTAATACCGTAACTGAGCAAGCCACTGAAAATCTGTTTCGTGCAACACACCTGAAATAATACAACCATGGGAAATGTCTTAGGCTCTACTCCTCAGCATACCATGGAAAGGAAGTAGGAAGGGGAAACAAAATGTTTTGAAGTTGCAGCTGTCAGCTCCAATTTTTCTTTCATCTTAAACAGTGCTTTTTTGGGGGTGGGGTACGCAGGGGTACACATACCCCTAAACATTTTGTGAATCTTTGTACTTTTGTCCATTTACTGTATTTATTTCCCCCGATTTGAACTATAAAATGGTGATTTTCTTGCGTCAAAATGAGAGTACCCCTAAACATTTTTTTAGAAAAAAAAGCACTGCTGTTAAAGCAATGGGTATACAGTGGAACCTTGTGTTATGTATCGTCCTCCTTACAAATGCTTCGGGTAACAAGCTCCGCTAACCCAGAAGTAGATGCTCCCAGTAGCAAACTTTGCCCTGGGATGCGAGTGGAAGTCGTGCGCTGACAGAGCAGCAGCAGAAGAAGGCCCCATTAGCGAAAGTGTGCCTCAGGTTAAGAATAGATCTCGGAACGAATTAAGTTCGTAACCGGAGGTACCACTGTATGTCTTAAAATAATAAAATCAATATTTTAACATTGAGAATATTAGTTTAAAAAGCAATGATTTCCCGGAACAACAGAGAAATATCAGGCAATGTATTAATATTCTCATTTATTCTATGACAAACAAGAACAAGCTATTAGGTTACATACCACTTTCAATCATTTCCATGACGACATCTCTAGCGTGCACATCAATAGTAACCAAAGCACCCAGTGTGGTCCTTGTTTGTTTAGACAACTTCCCTCTTACCAGCTCCACAATATCATTTAACTGAAACTGAAGGTTAGCGTAATAATTCTTTAAGCCCTGCAGAATGAAAATGGATTTTGATAAATTCTATCTGCCACAAACAACTACCAAGAGGAAGCTTAGTGGTCTCTCTATATTCTTATCCTGTGATTTATTTATTCAAAAGCTCATTAGTGATTGCTATACCAATTTTTAATATAGATGCCCCAGTCAGGTAGATCTGGCTTGCATAACACATTCCCATTCATATTTACTGTTCTTTTGCTATTAAGTTATGTATTTTGTGTTTTTATGTTGTAAACCACCCTGTGATCTTCTGATGAAGGGCAGTATAGAATGAATGAATGAATGAATAAATAAATAAATAATCAACACATATTGTTCTGTGAGCAGGAACATGGTCTCTGCACCAAAATGGGTGCAGCTCTTGGAAGCAGAAGAAGCCAGTGTGTGTGTATGTCTAAAGCTCCTGTACTAAAAATACAATTGCTGGATTGGGATGCTGGTATTTAATATTACAAAAGTATTTATGTCATTGGGAGTTCATAGGGTAAAATGAACAACAGCTTCTCATATATACTAGAGTGAAATTTCTCAGAAGACAATTTTCAGTGAAAAAATCCTCAGGCTTTTTTTCTCCTGAAATTTTCTTCACAAATAGGGTGAAACATTTTAAGAGCTCATTTGTGCACATTCAGTATCTGACATTTATCTGTCCCTCCAAATATTTAGTTGTATTTTACCTGCCTAAGTATTAGGATTCATTTTTTAAAAAAATAATTTTTATTAACCGACCAATCAAATCAAATCAAATCACATCACATAAATTCCGAATTACAAAGCCGAATTTTAAATTTTGTTGAGGGGACCCATATTTCAAGTTCCGAAGGGGGATTGCGATCATCTTCTTGCTACTGCATTAATGTCCAAATCAGTCCAAATAAAGTTCATAATTCTATCCAGTCTTATCTTGCTGTTTCCACATCTCATCTTGTTCCTATATTTTTTTCTCTTTTTTCTTTATGATCTCTTCTGATAATCTTCTTAAGCAGATAAACACCAATTATAATCCTGTGTGAATTTTTCCGTTCGTCCAATCCTCATATCGAGATGGTTTCCATATATCATCACTTTCATAAATAACATCGCTCTTTCCATCATTAATTGCAAAACTGTCGTTCTTAAGTCCCTCTGAGGAGTCTCACCCACAATATAAAAACAGCTCTATTTCTCCTCCCAGACTTAAGCCCTCCGACAGAACTTGCCAACATGGCGACGGTATTTTTAACTGCGTCATTCCAAAGCCCTTATACATTCCACAATCTTCTTAAAACATGCTTTGGTTAGAAAATTTATCTCCACACAGTCATAAATCCACAGCTTAAGTCATTAAAACGACATTTCTGACTTGTGAGGGGTGGGGATTCTTGGTTAATCACTTAGAGGGGGGGGAGGAAAGTTCCCCCCCTCCCCCATCCAGTCCTTTTGCCATACCGAGCCTTGGCATATCTTCTCTTGATTTATCTTGTTCCTCTGACCCATCTTGTTTATCAGAGATCTCTTCAGTTAGCAGTCTTTACTCCCCCTCCTTCCTTGAAATATGTGCATTCGCTTCCTCCTAATTATTCCTTTTGAAGTTCTTGCAGCTAGAGGCGCGGATCAGAGACAGCGTCCAGGAGCGCCGAAATCCACAGGAGGGCATTCTGCCTAGTGCCCCCATCCCCACAAATTTGGGGGTGGTATAGGGCACAGCAGGCAAGGGCAGCCCCCCCCACAACCTTGGGGGGGGTAGGGAGGCTATTTACTCCCATCACAGCCTCCTAATTACCTCGTGTGGGTCGGAGAGATGTTATTGTCAGCCATCTTCCAATGCGCCC